CTACCATAACGGGCTTTGAGACACCGAAGGGTGTCAGATGCACCTGACTTGCTCCAGGGTATCCTGCCTGGCCTCTGGCTGCTCAAGAAGATCAGGATTACCTTTTAAATGTCACAAGCAGCACTACAAACCTACTTTGGGAAACCGAATCAAGCACCTAAACTTAGCTGTTTGTTTTCACAACGAATACCACTCTTGGCGTTTAGAGCATCACTTCCGCAAATCTTCACAATCCACTGGAGCATCGATCACCCTCAATAATGCTACATCGTTAACTAGCTTGGCATTGGGTCATTCACACAGAAGTTTTGACTTCTGATGACATTTTAGTTTAAGAACCTTCCTCAGACTTACCAGACAATAGGACATAAGTAGCCAAAAGTTTAAAAATTTTGACTTTTCAATCATTTACAGTGTTAAGATATTTTTACTGCCGTAGTAATGATGTGTATATAAAGAATGTTTAATAACTAACTATCTTAGGTAGTAAGGGGCTGAGGAACAGAAGCTATCCTCCCAAGCTTTACTACTGATCACAAGTACATGTGAAATTACTCCAGAAAGAGTTAACATGCCTGGGTTCTGTTACTAATTCTGTTACAACTATTTAATGTAACACCTGAGGAAAACACAAAGTAAGTTTTCTCATAACATTTTAAGGCTTATCCAGCAGACAAAAAGTTAACTGTCCTCCAAATGTAAAATATGTTTCAAGTTCAAAGAGAGAAGGAAAGAATAGGTAAAATATTTGGATAATGTTGGACAATTAAAAGATATTCTTTGTGGGTTTGGATTAGTTTGGGGTTGTTGGGTTTTTTTGAGATAGTAAATTACTCTTTTGGAGTCAGTAGAGTTCTTGTAAAAGCAGATGTGGTATTTACTTCGGTCAAGTATTTCCAACAGAGGTTTCTTTCCCCTAATGCTTAAATTATCCATCTTTCCCAAAGCCTGACTGCACAATTCAACTGAGGGAGGTTCCAAGACTGTCCCCAACTCAGGTAAGTATCTAGTTAGGAAAGCTAAATCACAATCCTCGATATTTGAATATGTTTTTCTTCTAGTTGAAAATCCATGTAACAGTTTCCTATATTAATAAACTGGTTTGTCGTGGAGATTCCCCATCTTTCATTAAGATGGTACAGATTTAATTGACATAATTTTGATTCCAGCCATCATGTTCCTCCATATACGTATATACTCCTGTAAACACCATACACAGAGCTATACTGAGCCCTGAGAAACACTTGGAGAAATTTCCTTCCCCAGGCACTCCTCCTATTTCCACCTATGGGTACTTTGCCATCACCACTGTCGCTTACTATTCACTCATTACCACAGATATTACCCCTTTCTTTATGTACATCTAATACAGGGTGGGAGCATCCAGGAGAGGAGTGTGTACTTGATGACACTCCTTGAATAGGAAGTCAAGTATTTGACACCCACAGATGTCCTTTGAGTTCTTGGATATAGGTAATCTCCAGTTTCCCAGTCTGAATGTGTCTCCTTCACATCTTTCATTATTCCAACATCGGTCTCACCAACTCCAGAGAGCCTTGCTTGTACTTGCTTCTACTACAGTTGAGTCTTCCCGTCAATACAGGCACTGCTGTCACATTGACATTTTTTTCCTCAGGGAATTTTGTTAGCATCTAATTTTTTATGGCTATTTACAATGTATCCTATATTATTTCTGTCAGTGCTTTTGCGGAATACCATCACTCCTCCCAGTAAGTCTGACAGTCTTCATTTTCTACATACTCCCATTTTGGTTTGTAATACTCTTTGGGAAAGTTGTTTTTATCACATCCCAAAGACAAGGGTAAAACCACTGGTCTTTCATGTGCCTCGTAATATTCAATGAGACGCTAAGACATGAAGCTGCTCATCTTATAGTGACAGCTAAAGAGAAATCTGAAGAAAAGATAAAAATTTTCATTGACATGAAGAAGTAGGTATCCAAAAGAAATGAAAAACCAAGTTATACAACTAAACAAGAAAGGGAAATGAGGTGCTTTGATACTAAGCTAAGCCAGCTGTGAGATTACACCACTGACCTTTAAGCTATGTAAACCTTAAATATGTTTTAGAATAGTTTCTGCAGGAAAGGCAAATAATCATAATTACCTGCTCAGTCACCTTTCCAGTGGGAAAATTTGCTGGGATGTTTCAAGGGAAGTAAGGTTCTGCTCTGAGCCAACAAGGCAAAGCAATATTCTAATGAGCTGAAAAAGTAACTAAGAGCAACAGTGGAGTTAGCAGAATCTGTTGATTATAACACATTTACCAAATAAGTTTTAATGAAGTGACATTGACTAATAAAACACAAACCAATGCCAGGTAGGAACCACATTCTAAACCTTAAATTTTTCAATCCGCTTCTACTGCAACGTTGCACGCCTTGGTTTGGGAAAGGGTTGAAAGCAGAAGGGGAATTAAGAAATCTGGAATGTCCCCTCAAATTTACTAAACTCTTGTTTACTAGAGTATTCTACATCAGCTACAGATCCAGGCAAATTCCAATACAGGCATATAGACTTAAAGGTTACTGTACATTTAGCTGCTTTAAAAAAAAAAGAATCAGTTACACATGGTATTTGCCCATAATTCCAGACTGAATGCAATTGATTTCTACCGCACAGGAGACTTAATCTATGCCAAAAATTTTATTTCATTAAGAAAATGATATTATGGAGCATCTGAGATCATGTAACAGACAAAACAGAATGCCAGAGAAATTTTAACTGCCAGTACCCCACAGTGAATGCCTGATTATTTGCAGATGGGATATGGAAAAATTGTGAAATTATTGGAATTTTGGGTCCTGTATGAAAGCATTACTTCAGACTGCATGTGTCATGGCAAACGTCTATTATAATTTGAATACATTCTTAGATTTTGCTTTCAGTGCTTAGAACTGGCTACGCTCACTTCTTTAGACTTATTAACTGAAAAAGACTGCATTCTTCGAAGCGCAAAACAAAACCCTTAGGTGATAGCACAAAACAGTGCCAGTAAGTCAACGGTCAATACTGATGGTATTTATCCAATAACTAAACTAAAATCTAATTTAAATCAATCTCCTTTGGAAAAGCCAACTGTTCAACAAGCACAACAATTGGTCTAAGATCAATCAGCGAACATGAGATCAATTAAAACCAGCTTAAGTTTTTGTAGGAGGACAATTCACACAACTCGAGTTAGATGTCTATTCATTTCAGTACTCCCACAATGCAATCCTTAAACTCTGTTGTAAAGCAGAAATACCACTATCACCCTCCGCTGTCTAGCCAGCACTCTAAGTAGTTCCACATTTAATTAAAGACACAGTATACCCTTTGTTAGCACAGATAGTCTGGTCACTTTAAAGGACTGCTATCGGTTCAGCCACACACACAAAAATTAAATTCTGGAAACCATCTGTTGAAAAAAACGTCAAAACTAAATTGCTTTACAATTTTATTTGTACCTACTCTGAAAGTGACATAGGCATGAGAGCGCTAACTATATTCCTTTCTTAGTTTTATTACTGTTTTTACCGGCTTAACGCCAGCGAGGTTCGCTTCCTCCCCATCCGAATAATTGCGTGGAAAGTGCAATTCTTTCAAAAGCACAAATTTCTCAGCAGCTGAGCAACCTGATTTTCAGCTGACTTTAGAAATGGG